GGGGGGGGGGGTCAGAGATCAAGGGCCACACCACCTCCAGCTGTGGAGCTTGCCGGACACGAAGAGGTCGGAGAGAGGCATGAATCCAATTACTAAGGGCCGAGCACTGAGCTGGGGCGGCCGCCTCAACACCCCAGGTGTTACCTAGCCCAGAGGGTCTCCTCGATGGCAGAATCAGGAACACCTGGAAACTGGTTCCAAGTCCAAGGTCTCAGGCTCCACCTACCGAACCGGTCGCTGGGAGACCGGGGCCCCGTCGGCAGTGCCGGCGAGCCCCTGGGGGATTCGGGGGTCGGCTGAGTTTCAGCATCACCGATCCAGCCCCATTTTTGTAGCTGGAGCAACCGGCCCAGAGACTAGGCGGCTTACGCAAGGTCACAGCTGCTCAGTGGCTAGCTGGGTTTCAAATCCAGCTTTGTCCGGTTCTAGAGACAAGGCTTATACAGGCGCCTGCCCGTTAGAGGAGTGGGGAGGGAATCGCAGGAACCCCAGGAAGGAAGGCCAAGCGCCAGGGAAGGCGCTTTCGCAGAGGAAGCCGGCCCAGATCCCAGGCCCCTCGGTTCTCCGCCTCACCAGCAGCCAGACCTCAGAGGGCGGCCCGCACTGTCACCCCACACGCCCCACTGGGGGCGGGGAGGGAGGCCGCAGCACGGTTGGGCTTCCTGGCAGCCGCGGCGCCTTTCAGAAGGAGGCGGCACCCAGGGCCCTCCCCCACCACCAAACACACAACTGGGAAATACTTGCAAGAGCAGCTCTAGTACGCTGCTAAATTCGGCAGAGAATTGCACGCCCCAAATGCCTGACAACAGAAGCTGACAGGCGGGGATGGATGGCCCGGGCAGGCTCAGCGGGCAGCGCATTTCACACACACGGGCACACACAGCTGTGGGGGGGAGGGGCCGCAGAAGCAGCCCGGCGGGTTTGGGGTTCCGCCCTCCCTGGGCGGCAGGCCAAAGCCCCCCAGATCGCCCTCTCGGCCTGGGAAAGGGCTCACACCTACCTTACCGTCAGTCAAACTAGGCCTGCCCCTGCCGTCCACAGAAGGAAGGGCTGTCCACTCTGGGGGTACCCGCATGTCGCCCCTTCTCCGGCCATGAACCTGGAGGGGGAGGAAGTCGAAGGGCTTGTCGGGGCAGACCCCAGCTTGCGGGTCAGAGAGCCGGAGGGCCCATGCACACCGGACAGGGTCTCCTGGACGCCCGGGGGGCCTCTCACATGCCGCCCCCCGCCCCCGGCTGCCAAGGCGGCCCTCACCCAGGAATGGGTGGGGGGGTGGCTGGGCAGGAGGTTCAGCCCGGGCGACGAGCAGCAGGAGGCGACTCATCTGCATTTCCAAAGGCCCGCCCAGTCCGCATCCCCTCCCCCAGGAAGGGCCGGAGATCTGAGGGTTTA